CAGGAAGAACTTTACCTGAGCTTTGATGCTCACTGCAGGGCAGGCTGTCTGGCCTGTGAATGACTGCAGGGTTGGAACTGCATGCAGACAGCTTTGCCAGGCAGAAGCTTGGCTAGGAGCTTTGTTCCCCCTGCCTTGGGGTAAATCCGGGGGGGGGGCACTGTGGAACAGGGCAGGCGGGCTGGGGAGGGGAGCAGCTGCTGTTGCTGCAGCTGGTTACCTCTTGCGAAAGGGAGAAGGGCAAGAAACACCAAAAGCCAGGGCAGCTGTGGGTCAGACACAAGTCTTCTTCAGCGGAGCAGCTGTGGGCTAAGCAATTATTTGGCGGGTCAGATTCGTCTCGTGGGCTGTATTTTACCCACCCCTGGTGTAGGGGAATGTATGTAGGTTTGGGAGCAGTTAGTGGCATGTGCACATGGTGTTGGGGTGTGCATAGATTTGGTGCTGGTGAGGTCTGTGCATTTTAAAGGGGATTTGGCTTTTCCTGCTCTGGCTGTCCCACAGGCTGTAACTTTTCTCTCTGCCTGCAGGTCTGAAACCTCCTCGCCCCACTGGCTGCAAGCGCTAAAGCTGAAAAAGAAAAAATCCTGAAACAGAACATGCAAGTGAGTTTTCACAACAGGGCCTGAGCTGACCTGGGTCTGGTTTTTGAGAGCCCTACGATCCCCCTACAAACTGGAGTGGCACTGCCAGGACTCTGAATCTGTGTGGCACCAAGGTGTGGGGTGTGAGCAGTGCATGTGTGCACCCTGCCTGAGCACACTTGTGGTCATGGGAAACAAAGCCTCTGTAGCCTTGACCGGGGAAAATCCTACATCTGAGCCACACCTGTGTGCTGAGTCACATTGATGTCCCTGACCTTAGGCATGGGATGTGGTGTATAGCGGTGGGGACACAGGACCTACCTCATCAGCTTCACAAGCATTTCTCCCCTCTGTCACTGGGAAGAGCAGCCTGCTGAGCCTGTAGGATCCTTACCCTTTGCTTCCTGAATCCCAGCATTTGGCCTCTTGTGACTGGCAGGGTCAGGCTGGCTATTTGCTTCCTTGCAGCATCTCCAATCAGGCTTTTGTGGGATGATGGCACCACCTGGTGGGGGCCGTGTGTCATGGCACTTAGTCCTTTCTGCCTGGCATGGTTGGGACCTCTTGTAATGGGTGCTGCCAGGAGGGGGGAATTCAGACAATATCAAGGGAAGTCTCCTGAAGAGAGAATGGCTCCTTGAATGGGGGCAGATCTGGCTGGGGACTCTCTGCATGTCATAGCATCTGCCCTGCTAAGGGCAGCTCTTCTCAGTTCCAGTGGCCAAGGCCTGTTTTTCTACAGCAGGGGGCTGAGTTCAAGTGGCTGAGTGGTGATGTTCAGGGAGTAGTGGGACTTCTGTCTCCTGCCTTCATGAACTGCTGCTCCTTGAGGAGGGGGTGGATCTGGCTGGGGAGCAGTCCTGGGGTGGGGGAGCAGGGGTTCTAATGTGTCAAACACACCCTTCTCTCCAGACTTTCCACCCATGAGTGCACTGGCTCTGGGCAACCTCCCCCCACCACCTGGAGCCTGTCCCCCACACAAGACAGTCTGCCAGGCTCTCCATTATGGATGGGGTGCTATATGGTACCAGTCTGCCCTTGCTAATGTCTGCCCTTTCTCTGTCTTCCAGGCGTCTTTTGTCTGCTGCTGGGGCTTGGACAGCTCACGCACCAAAGAGGCTCATGTGGGCATGGGGAATGGGACAGCACAACCTTCGCAGCCCCCCTCCCCCCGCCATCCATGTGCTGTTGAGATGCACAGTGAGGGCTGGGGCAGGACAGGCACACCTATGCACTTTGTATCACACTTGAGAGCTGCTGGGTCCCTTTGCTGCCTCCCGCAAGCTGGCTGCTTCCTCTCGCTGCCCTTTCCTACCACCGGCCTCTTATTATAAAGCATCTGGTTTTTGTAATCAGTGAAGCGGCCCAGCCCTGTCCCTTCTGGCCCGCTTTCCCACTGAGTTGGGGCAGGGTGGGACCTGGGGTTGGAGCTTGTACTCTCTTCCTCTCTGCTGCCCTATTACATATTTCACACACAGAGCAATGAATTATGTTGGTGCCACTTGATGAGACAATAAAATCTTTCTGATAACGGAAGGGGCAGCTGTGGTCTCAGGTGCATCCCTGGGGTCTCCCAACTTTGTCTCCCCCATACTTTGCTTGCTTTATCTTTCATGTAATCAGGGAGCAGAGGACAGCGGGCAGGACCCTCTGAAAAGCTGGCTGTAGGGCGAACCATTCCTTGTTCCCCATTGTGTCCTGCTCCTTCCTTCCCCCTGCCAAGTCATTGGGGCCACTTGCTGAGTCAGCGGGGGTGGGCAGGCCTTGCTAGGTAGCTAGTTCAATTGTATTGCGTCCCCCTGTGCTCTGTCTCTGAGCTGAGTTGCAGGCATATGGCCCTGGGCAGGGAGGTGGGCTGCAGGGATTGGGGCTCCTGAGTGCGTGATGCCAGCCTACTGAGGCATCCTGGCACTCACTGACACTGCCCTGCTCCTGTCTATTCCTGCAGAGCCCCAAGTTTCCAGTGTCTTGTTTTTCTCCCATTCTTCCCAGGCAGAATCTGAGCATGCAGTGGGACAGACTGAATGTGGATAGGGGCATCCAGCCACTGACAGCTCTGCATGCATGCTGTCTTAACTCAAGAGCTTTGCCCTCATGAGGGACGGGTCTATCCTGGAATCCCTTCCCCAGGGAGCTCCTAAGACATGTCAGTAGAAGAGACTCCAATGTAGGTGTGGCTCAGCTGTTCATACCCAACTCCTGTGGTTTTGTGTCACTGTCTTAAGCCCTACACCCAGTAGGATTATATCTGCAGTTTTGATCCCTGTCCAGCCTACAGTCTCTTAAACTCCACTTCTGGAGTTTGCTGAAGTTGCAAGGCAGATGAGCTTCACTTAGTGCCTCAGAACGACATGTGTACAGGAAGTGTTACAGGAACAGGTAGAGCACATCTACAGGGCTGTTTCTTTCAGTGCCGAATCTTTGGGACCCCACAACGAGAAGGGTGTAGAACAGTGATATTTTACCAGGGTGTTGGAGCACTCTGGGGTTCCATCAAATCCTCTGAAGGGTGTCGCAAGGTGTGAGGAGATAAGCAAGGTATGAGGAAATAGGTAAGTGCAGGCTCAAGCTTGTCCTTTCCTGCACAGTCCCCCACATCTATTGCCCAGCCCCTCTGTAAGGAGGTCAGCACTATAATGTATACATTAGTTTTGAATTGGGTGCCACTACATTCACAAAAATTGTGAAGGGTTGCCTCAAGTCCAAAAAAGTAGAGAATCACTCATTTAGTACCTGTGTCCTCCACACTGATCACCACCCATGGGGAGGTATGATTCTTCAGTTCTGCCCAGGGGATAAAGACAGCTGCTACAGAGGGGGTAGAGGGGGGTGGGGTGGAAGGAATCCATCTGGGGTAGTGCTCAGAGGATTTGGTTCAGTCCCTTGCTTGGCTACAGTTTCTGTCTGCCCTTGAAGTTTCTTAATGGATCTGGGTTTCCATTCCTCAGCAATGAGAGAGGATCAGTTTCAGCTGCTTAAGACACAGGAAAGCAGGCAGCCATTGTATCATGCACATGGAACAAGGACACTTCTTGCATGCCGAGAAAAGGTGAGAAGCCACAGACCCCAAATAATAGTGCTTACATCAGAACAAGGGCAGGTGATTACTAATCCAGGCAAGAACAGTGACCAATTTCTGAAACTCCACCAGGCTTGTTACAAGAAATTTTCCACCCAGCCTAGAAGAATTGAGTAACTTTGTTATAAGTCTTATGATTCCACAAATATCAATACAGCAACGGGTCCAGCCAGCCTTAGGCTTGTAGTCAGAGGAAGTAGTCAAAGCCATGGGGGAGATGAACCAGGCAGGGGCTTCCACCTTGATGACCTAGCTGTAGAATTCTGCCAAAAGTTCAAGGAAGAACTGGTCTCTTGGCTGTCAAACATCAATGGAAGGCCCACTTCAAAGGCACCTGACTTCTGGCTATGAGGGAAGATTGTATTGCTGACAAGGTTGCTCCAAAATGTAATGGTCATCAACCTACCTCTTTAATCAATGCTGTTATAAAATGCTTTCAAACCCACTGGCTAAGAGGCTTACGAAGGCAAGAAATAGGATTCATAGATCCAACCTGGTCTGCAGCCCCATAAACTCCTTGCACATTGCCTCCATCTGTAAGACATCTTCCCCTTCTTGGCAATCCGCAGTCAGAGAGGCCTAGGTCTGTTGGACATGGCCCATGAGGAAAGCATAGGCTTCCATGCCTAGTGGGGGACAACCAGCTACAGGTGAAAGGGTTAATGATGAGGTCATACAGTGGTTGACAGCCTTGGTTCTCACAATCATGACAAGCCACGACCAGGTTTGAATTTGCTGTCCACCCGTTCCAGAAATGTTCCCACCCCAACAGCAGGTCCAAGCATTACTTGCTCACCTGAGGGGGTGGGGCACAAGCACAATGTGCAGCATGTTTCCCTGATCCTTCACCTGACTCCCAATATACTTTCTTGAACTGAAAAAGAACATTCAGCTTGGGTCAAAGTGAGCCTATTAATTTCATATTGACAGTTAATTAGCTTTCTAAAGTTTTGGTTGCAAAGATTGTTTTCAAATTCTAAATCCAAAGCTTTTAAGCTGTTCAGTTAATTCCGTAAGCTAAGCCTAGCAAGCCTTCTTGCTATGGTGAGTTGAAAACAATTCTCTTAATAAAGACTTTTAAGATATCCCATAGTGTACACCAGGTTATAAGTGGTATCAAGGACAAGATGAATTTCCTTTGTTCTGAAATTGTTTCTCATTTCAAAGCAGAGTTTAGGCTCTGCACTTTAGTCCAGTTTGTCACAGGAGGAGAAACCCGCAGAATCCCTGGTGCCTGTTCAGAAGTCAGAATTGATTTAATTTGATGAGATCTGTGGAAATCAAGAAATAAAATCTGTTTGTGAATAGGTGCAAGAAGTGAAATCCATCTTGATGGGTGTTATGACCATCATACACCTTTTAAACCCAGCTCTATATAATCATTCATGATGATTCTGACCCATAGTTATGTATGTTTGGGTTGGTCTGATTTGTTTAAAGTGATTTGATACTTCCCAGAAGTTCCTTGCCATGGCATCCAAATGTAGTAGGACATTAGCGGCCACAAGGTTGTGGCCATGTGCTTAAGGCAAAGGATTTAAATCTACTGGGATTTGTGTTTTCTTTCAAACAGTGATTAATACAGATAAATGTGTGGTGTGCAAAAGTTAGCATTATCTTTATTTTGTCCATTTAAATGAATAAGTTATATCTTGTACCAGCAAAAGTTTACCTTCCTCGTTTTTGTCCACATTTTCTCAAGTCTCTTGTGAAACAATATTGCTGTATTCTTAGCTGCAGAAAAGTAATTACAAGGTGCCCTTGTATTGTCTGTTTCCCTTCAGTTTTTCTGTCTCTAGGTGATTTTTGTGTAGAAAAAGAACCTCTGTTTTCTATGTTTCTACATGGGTCTGTTTTCTTTCATGAGGCACCTTCTGGAGGCACCAAAAGATACAATTTCCACTGTTAGTCACAGAAATTGTATCATCATGTCATTCCACTGTTTGCTCCCATTAATTTTGCCATAATGCTTCCCAGGTATAGACTGGAGAACAAATAACGTGTTAGCCACTAGATTTCTTCAATAAATCACCAAGCCAAGAACAGGTTATGCTGGTTTAGACTTGGTTTTGGTAAGTTATGAGGCTGTAATTGAAGAGTTGATCATAGACAATAACCTCAGACTGAACGCTCACAAGCTGATGAGTTTAAACCAGTAAAAGGACAAACAAAAATAGGTCCATAACTCAAGTTCTTGATTTCAAACATTAATGAAGTGTCTTAGACCAGAGAGCTCAAGGACTTGAGTGTGCAAAAGTCTTGGAATTTTTTGAAGTCAAAGATACATACCCTATCTGGAATTTATGAACAGAAGGAGGTAACTAGCCATGTTAGTCTGAAGACAGGCAGAAGGCATGGCAGGGTGGCACCTTATAGATTAACTCATTCAGAGAGTCATGTGCTTTTGTAAGCTACAGCCTCTGTCAGATTTATAGTAGAGGGTAAGCAGAGATTCTACATAGAATGGAACAAGAGAATTGATCACCAAAAAAAAGGTACAGCTTAGGAGTCAGGGGACAGGGTTGAAGTACAAATGGCCAAAACTCACGCTGAGTTAGACCTTGCAAAGACTATTAAAACAAATACACAGCCAAAGAACCTTTTGCTAAGAAAGAAGAGAACAAGGTGAGCTTCTGTACAGTGTGAATGGAGAAGAGATTAAAGATAATCCACATATGACCCAAAACTAAATGAATGCTATACCTCGGTTTTCAATGTCGCCCAGGGATAGAAAGACAGGAATTAAACACAACGTAAATAGAAATGGGATGAAATGCAGCATGGGTTTTGCCAGTGGTAGATCATGCCAGTCTAACCTGATGCCTTTATATGGTAAGGTAACATATTTTCAAGACAAAGGAAATGCAGTGATTCTGATTTGTCTGGATATGACACCATATAAGAAATTACTAGTTAAGCAGGAGAAGATAGCAGTAATTGCAAGGACTATAAAGCACTGACTAAAAGAAATACTACGATGAATAGGGGTGAAAATGATCAGGCTAGAGGAAAGTTACTGATGGAGTTCTCCAAAGACTGATCTTCACAGTGATCTTTAATATTTATATTAATGACCTTGGCACAAAAAGTAGGAATGTCCTTGTGACACGAGGTTGGAAGGCATGATCCATATAGAGGAGGATCAGGATATTGCACAGAAAGAACTGTATGACCTTGAGGACTTGAGTAATGGACATAGGGCAAGATTCAGTGGTATGAAGTGTATAGTCATGCACTTGGAGACTCCTAAGAATTTCTGCTAAAAACGGAGCTCTTCTATTGGAAAAGATGAAGGAGGGGAAAGATCTGGAGCCACCAGGTTGAAGTGTCTACAGAAAAGGTACATGTGATCTATCAATCAAGGTATTTCTAGTAGAGTTATGGCATTCTTAATGCCATGGGTGAGGCCTCATTTGCGATATCGTATACCAATTGGGGGTGAACCTATCCTATCCTGTGAGCTGGATGAGTGGCATAGGGCCAGTCTGCAGACTAGATACCAGGGGCAGGGTCCAACCACTGAGCAAACCCGTATGTCCATCCAGAGCAAGCTAGTGCATGATGGGGCCATCATCCCAGTAGGGAAGTGGTGCAGCATTAATAGCTGCCTTTCTCAGATCCCTGGTGCAATCTGGGATCCTGCCACTACTCCCTTACTGCCAAATTTCCAGACTTGTGGCCACATGACACAACTCCACAGACTAGATCTAGCCCACGGACCATATGTTGAAGACCACTTTGTATACAATTCCAGCCACTTGTATTGCAAGAAGGATCCATCCCTATTGGAACAGGGCCAGAGTAAACTATCTGGGGGACAGAAACAGTCTTGGGAGAACAGAAAAAAACCACTTTGTGTCGCTCAGCTTAGTGAAACAAAAATTATGAGGGGATATATGGGAGCTTTTTGTAAGTTTATCATGGCAGTTTTTGGGGGGTATACTATCAACCCCCAGACCAGGACAGCAGTAGTGAGGTAGAAATGCTAAAGGAGATGAGAAAATACAGCAGAAAACAGTAATAATGGGTGACTTCAACTATTTACAGATAGACTGGGTCATTCTAACATTAGGCTGGGATGCAGAGTCCACATTTCTCGATGTTATAAAAATACTGCTTCCTGGAGCAGTTATTCCTGGAACTTACAAGAGGAAAGGCCATTTTTTACCTAGTCTTAAGTAGTGTGTAGGATTTGGTGTAATGGGTAAATGTTATTGAGCCATTTTGTACTAGTAACTACAATACAGTTGGATTTGACATCCATGTAGGAGGGGAGATGAGAAGAAAAACTACCACAGTAGCCTTGAACATTAAAAAGGGAGACTAATAATATAAAAAACGAGGAAGCTAGTTAGACAGAGGTTAAAAGGGGTCCCTAGGGAAGTGACTAATGGTGAAACAGCATAGGAATTGCTTAAGAACATATTGGGGAGACAGCAAATGAAAACAAATTAAAAAAAAAAAAAGGGAAAGCAGACCAAAAGAAAGCCAGCATGGTTTAATAGTAGTTGCAGAAGAAATAAGCAGAAAAAGGCTTTCAAAAAGTGGAAGTTAAATTCTAATGAGGAAAATAAAACATATCATAAACACTGGGAAATCAAATGTAAAACTAAAGAGACAATTTCAGGAGAAACTTTCTAGAGACATAAAAGATAACAATAAAAATTGTTGGCAGGTGAGAATAGAAGATGCCCATAGGGTGAAGCTGGCAAGGTCACAGGGCCCTAGGGACATCATGGCCATCCCTAGGGACCCCACCCTGTGACACTCACCAACCTGCTTGAGTTGTTTGAGGGTACCAATAAGCAGGTGGATCAGGGCGATCCAGTTGACACAGTCTATTTGGACTCCAAAAAAGCCTTTGATAATGCCCCCCATCAGAAATTCTTAACTAAAATAGGTAGTCATGGGATTACAGGAGATGTAGATTCCTTGGTAGATTGTAGGTTTAGCCAGGGCCAAGAGGAGGTTGACCAGGAAGTCCTGGGACTTGATGGGGCAACATATGCTGAGTGTGTAAATGTATGAATGATGCATGACCCCGGAGGCTGGGGGGGCACGGCAACCACCCACAGGCAGTGGTGGCAGGGGCATGACAGTGGGGAGCTCACACAGGCAGCTGCGGCGGTGGCAGCGGTGGGAGCAGGCCAAGCAGGGAGCTCCTGCAAGTGGCTGCAGCAGTGTCAGCAATGACCACCTGCAGACGCCGTTGGCAGTGGCAGCCAGCAGTGATCAGGGACTGCCCGCAGACACCACCGGCAGTGTTGGCAGCATTTGTGGGGGGGTGGCAAGTGGTGACCACCTGCAGGAGGTGCACCACCAATCTCCTTGGGGTGCACGTGCACCTGTGTGCACACCCTATGCATCAATGTGTAAATGAAAAGATGTGGGGAATAGTGCAGACAGAACCTCAGCAAGAGGTTATGGAAGATGTGGTGAAGGGGCTGCAGCCTGATGCGCACCAGGTAGGTGTGCACCAGGGTCTCCCTCCGCTCACAGAAGGGGCAGGTATTGGGGGCATCTATAAACTGCACCAGATATACACCTGTGGCAACGGCTCTGTGGATGAGCTGCTAGCTGAGGTTCCTGGTGGCTTGTTGGGATCAAGGTGGAATATATACTCATCCACTGGGGACCCTCTTCTTTGCCAAGTGCATCCTGCCATTTGGTGTCAGCAGGATGCGAGGTTGGGATAATGGAGGGTGTAGACCATGTGTGTGTAGAGCTGGTGGTGATGGGTGGTCTAGAAGTGGACCAGCTTGGTATTTCCTAGCCTGTTGACATGGTGTGATGGAGAACGCCATGAGGCCTGTCAAAGCAGGGGCCCCATGATGAGCTCCAGGGGACCGAGGGCTACTGGAGGGTGAGGAGTGCCCTTGTGCAGGACTTAGTCAATGTAGGTGAGGGCAGTGTCCAGTAGGGTGGCTTTGACTTCCTGGAGTAGGCAGCAGGGTATACACAGTGTGGACAGCTCCATGTGCCAGGCCAGTGCAGAGGGATCTGCCCACCTCTGCCTGATATAGTCCAGGAGATCCTTGATATGGGCATGTAGGAGAAACCCCCTTTGTACATTTTCCTTCTGGACATTGATATAACAGAAGCCCCTGGGACAGAAACAGGGAGAGATTACCAAAGAAGAGTATACCTCCTTTGCTCGCGCTTGTAGGGAGGCAGTTAGATGGGCCAAAGCTACCATGGAGCTGAGGATGGCATCCCAAGTAAAGGATAACAAAAAATTGTTTTTTAGATATATAGGGAGTAAAAGGAAGGCCCAGGGAGGAATAGGACCCCTACTAAATGGACAGAAGCAATTGGTGACAGACAGGGGGGACAAGGCTGAACTCCTCAACGAGTTCTTTGCCTCGGTGTTCCTAAGAGAGGGGCAAGACAAGTCTCTCACTGGGATTGTAGAGAGGCAGCAGCAAGGCGCCAGACTACCATGCGTAGACCCTGAGATGGTGCAGAGTCACTTGGAGGAACTGGATGCCTTTAAGTCGGCAGGCCCGGATGAG